AGCTGGAGGGCTCGGTGCACAGCGTCCCACGGGACGTCACCTTGCCGTCTCTTGACATCACCCAACAGTGCCCATCACGCTGGTGGCTACTTCCACCAACCGGATGGAACCGGCCGATCTCATTGAGCCGGTGAGTGACAGCGCTTCCAGGGAGCGCAACCAGAGAAGAAGGTCCAGACACCGTGACTTGCATCGACGTCGGTCTCGCAGTCGTAGTCATCGCAGACGACCGCTTGGCCGGCGTGCGCGACCTATTCTTGCTTCGGACCATCGCATTGTCGTGCCTAAGCCACCCCCTGCAGTCAAGGCCATGCCGGCGTGTCGACCATCTGGCCTATCAAATGGCCGTTGAATCTTGACCAGCGGCAAAAGGTTCTCAGCCTACGGATTTGGACCAGCGCATGTCAGCATGAGTTGTCTGTGTAGATTCGCAGCCCTTCTTGCTTGTGTTGTCCTTGCTGTGATTTCACTTGCCATGTGGCTGTCTACAGAGTTTGTGAATAACCTGGTGGCGGTGCTCAACGTCCTCGCTTCCCAAGTTGCCACTGCCCTGGACACCCTGAACTTTGCCCTGGTGGCAGATCGAAATCAGGAATCAGATCCCCGGATGCCTCCCAGAGCACCACGTAATTCAAGACATGGACTGCGCCCACGCATCATCACGGAGCGCATCTCGTCAGATCGGTCTCGCACTCCCACCCGCGCCAGAACTCGGCCTGTGGATACTTCTTCTACCTGGTAGATACCTGCACTATCACCTCATCGTGAAGCACGTCGTGAAGCTCCAGGAGGCAACCCTGGTCAACGCCCAGAGACTCTGGTGGACCGGTTACCACCACCAAGACCTCTCGCTCCTAATGCCGCACGCAACGATCGTGCGCCGGGCAAGCTTCGTCTACTACCGCATCCCGGTGCTTCTTCGTTCCGTCCATCGCCGACGGTGGTCCATGGACCTCGTGAACTTCTACAAAAATTCACCATTGCCCTCCGCAATGATTATCTCGAACCATTCACGGCATGGACACAGGGTGAGCTGGATGAGATGGTCAGACGCAAAAAGGACAAGGATTCCAGGCCCACCTACAAGACTATCGCCCGCTTCCTTCAGAAACCCATTGAGGAAGTCAAGCAGGCATGGAAGGTCTACCAGCGACTTGAGGCTCGCAGTTAGATGACTTTGCAATATTGGAGCCGTCAAAACTCTTTTCGAGTGGTGGTGCGTTGCGTTGACCTTGTAGTTGTCTTGCCTTGTTTTGCGGACATGAGTGTTCAAATCATGCTGGAGCAAAATGTGCAGACATTCATAACTTGGACCCATGGAGCGCAGCCGACGTGGTTACAGTATCACGGATCAAACTACCCGGCCGGTACATTGCGTGACCGACCATTTCGATTGACGGCACCACCTCCACCTCCACCACAATTGCTAGTACTTCCTCCTCCTCCTCCACCACCACCACCGCCGCCGATGATGCTTCATCCACAGTTCATGCCCTCATTGCGAACTTCCTCTACCCCTTCTCCCCGAGGACAGTCATGCCCGGCTACTATGGTCTCTGAGCGCACACGCCGCTCAGTTTGTAGAGCTGACCAATCTCGTGCTGAAGATCACCGCAGTCTCACGCGTTCCCCGAAACGCACTCGAACAACGTCAATCTCTGATGAGCGTTATTCTTGGCGGCCCTTCACTGTGTTCACTTCGAAAAGGGCTACTCGTGCAACACGGTCCAGAACCACAAGATGCAAGCATTACTGTCATGCCTTCCTACATCATGGACGGAAATGTCTTTCTCCCTGTGTGCGACGTCAACCAGGACATTTCCATTGCAGATGCGCGCGTCACCAGCGGCGGTGAAACATTGCCGCAGTACACTACAGACTTTGCTGATTCGTCCAGTCTTCAATTTGAAAAGTTGTTATGCGTTGCATTGCTTGCTGATTGTGCATGGCCTGCATGTTGGTCATGGCATGATTGTTACGCCGCAGACCCCTTGGCTTCATTTGCCCTTGCAATTGTGACATAGCGACTCATTCGGTTGTCATGTTGCCACGCTACTTTGAGTACCACATTGAGCGAGGCGTGGAATGGATTCGGGTTTACACACCGGGCATGTGGCAGCCTGTGGCTGAATCCACCTTGGGCCCAACTCCGGACCGCGCTTCCACGTATCGTGAATGGCGCAGGGTCTACCACTTTGACGTGTACTTGCCCCGTGACAGCACTGGAGGCACCACTGCGGACCCGAATGTTACGCCCGTCTCCTACGCGTCCTATTACATATGGCAATTCCGGGATTGGCGCACGCGTGGTTATCAACGACTTGGTGTCCCGCGTCCACGCATTGGATCGACAGATTTCGTGTCTGATGGAGTTTCGTCCTCGTCGGCGTCTTCAGTTCCGGATGGCGCGTGGCGTGAACCTTCTCCCCCGCCGAGCTATGATCCCAATTTTGATTGGAACGAGTCTGATTGATGCTTGGATGGAATGTCGGTCAAAACATTGCGCCTGTTGAGTTTTCCATCTTGAGTGCTTTGCTTACGACCTTTTGATTGATTGCTTCCATTCATGTCATTGCTGCTGGAAACATGCGGTGACACTGAGCCTCCTGCGTGCTAACATGGTCCGATTCGCTTGCTGCTTGATCTTGGGTTGCCTTGCCTTGTGTTGTGCTATCTCCATGTCCATGCTTTCGCAGACTCCTTTTGTCTCATATAGGCCGATTCGGCTGTTATGTTCAATTCGACAATATTTGGCACTGACAGATGGTCCGTCCCGCGCTACTTTGAGTATGACATCGTGAATGGCCCTGCAAACACAAGAGTTGAACGGGTTCGAGTTTATGTACCAGGTCCGTGGCAACCTGTCGCTGATTCCACTTTGGGACCAGCTCCGGATAGCACATCAACCTATCGGGAATGTCGCAGGTTCTACCACTTCGAAGTGTACTGGCCTGTGACAGGCACAACTCTGGATTCTTTCTCCCGGCCGGTCTCCTATGCATCCTTTTATACATGGCAATATCGTGACTGGCACACCAGAGGATACCAAAGACTCGGCAATCCGCACCCGAACATTGCGGCCAGTTTTCCCTTCGAGATCGCCTGACCTCATGCACGCTGGATTGTCTTCTTCGTCAACATCCTTGATCTCAGATGGTGGTTGACGACCTTCCTCACCTCCCTATGATCTTGAATTTGATTGGAGTGAGCGGCATCGAAACCTGAGTCGCGTCTGGCTACAAACCGCCGCGGTCGGTGCTGCGTGCGCTGCGAGTGCTGGATTGATTGTTTTGCGGTTGACTGGCATGTTTGGTGACACATGGCATGAAGGGTTCGTTGCCTGCAGCCGTGTTCTTCTCGGTTGTGCATCTAGGTTTTGGGTTGTCATGCCATGGCTGGAGTGGTGCCCGGATCCTCAACAACCAGGTGCTCAATGGGTCAAGATTTTTCATCCGGGATCCTGGACACGACAAGATGAACGCGATGATCCGCCTCCGCGACACACATACAGAGAGTGGAAGGAGTTCCATGCTCCAAACCTGGCTCATGACGAAGACCAGCCCACCAGACGCACTTGGTACAAGAGGGCTGCTCCTGAAGCTGTTCAAGACTTCAGTTCGATGTTTCCTCATCAACATAGCGTGGCCACGCAATCTTCGGCTTTGAGCATGACACCGCAGATGTTGAGTATGATTCTCCGATCTTCGGATGCCTCTGAATTCTCTGTTGATGATCTTACTCGTCTTCAGGCTGGGATCTGTCAGCAACTGTCAGAACGCGCGCGTCAAGCGTCCCAACATCCAGCACATGTATCTCGTGGAGGTGCGCCGCCCGAATCTATTGGGGTCGCTGATTTAAATACACCTGCGGGTCAATCAGGCAGCTCTGCCAACAAGGCGCAACCCATCTTCGAGCTAGGTGACGTATAAACCGATGCATCTGTCCTTTACTTCAGCATGGGCACAGATGATGTGACTCAAACGTCGGCCAGAACTGACGAACAGCACCCTTGGCTCGAATACTCTGTCTGGCAGGACCAGGAGTGGGTGCGGATCTACACTCCGGGTCAGCAACCAGATGAGGCAGTGCCCGCTATACCAGACAACTCGTTTCGGGAGTGGAACGGGCAGCTGAGCATGTTGACGGAACTGGTGAATCCAGTCAAGCATGGACAATACGCGACTGGCAACATCAAGGTTATCAACGGATTCTGTCCCGCTTGGAGTCCTTCTCCATCATCACCCTGATCCATCATTTGCTGATGTACAACATCCGGACATTATCCGGGTCGAAGAGATGTTCACCTATGCCGGTGATCGCCCGACAGCTTTGCAGCTTCCGCCTGTCTTCTATGGCGGCGCACGTCTTGCTCATCTTGGAGATCTTTCGTCCCCGTCTTCTGAGCGGCCTCGTGCGGAGCGTGCAGTTTCGCGCTCTCCCCGACGCAGTGGCTATTTTGGTAGACGTTAGAATTGATGAGCCAATTGCGTGATCTTCCGGCTGGAACAAAAGATTTTCGCCCCTCGCTGAGGGGCGTGTGTGTGCGGAGTGACAGAATACCCTGTCACCACAGTTTCTTGCACAGGGGGACCATCCATTTGCTGCGAGCGATGGTCCAACCAAGCGGCCACAGCAAATGCGGATATCGAGGCTGATCACCTCGACGTACCTGTGCGTCTCGTGTGATTCAAAGTCCTTTTGGCCCGTTGTTTCTCTCGCTGTGTGTGCCTCATGTTGAATTTGTAACGTTTTCGCTGCTAGACGGAAACCAAGTGACTGCAAGCCGAACCTACACCTACTCGAGACTCATCAGTTGTACTCGAGACTCATCAGTTGTACTCGAGACTCATCAGTTGTACTCGAGACTCATCAGTTGTACTCGAAAGATTAGAGCCCTCCATCTGGAGTCTAAGTGTGTGTGTGTGTGTGTGAGTGCGCGTGTGGCTTCTAACAGGCTGCATTAGTGAGATGAGAGTGAGCTGGAAACAGTGTTTGCCTAGGTCGGGCAGGATTTCAGATATTTGATGTGTGCAGCTTAGTTGTACCCGCGTTGGCGATGCCTTAGACACACAATTTTACCTACACCCAAGGCAAGCCGGCTTCTTGAATCGGTCATCCACGGCAGTGGTCAGACAGGGAGAGAATCGACTTGGCCGTGTTGTCAAGCAAGAGGAGGCTACGTCGTTTGTCGCTGCTCAGACATGCTTGGAGTTTTGGGCCGAAGAGCTTGTTCACATTGTTTGGATGTTTGTCTGTTTGCTACGTCCAACACTTCTGGGGCAGACGTCAGAATTGGCCTACCAGCTTGGAAAGCTGTGGTAGAAACCCTCACGAAACGATATCAATGTCAAATACCATCAAAACAAAAAGTTGTGTGTACATTCTTGCCATTGGTCCAGACTTGCTTGTGAAAAGCATAATTTTGGAGGTGAAGACTACGCCCATTTGGGGTCGCAGCCAAGACGTTTTGCGAGAGCGAGATGTCAATGTGACAGGCAAGGGTGGATATGCTGAATGTGACACTGTTGCATATTCAGGTCAAGTGTTGCATTCTAAGTACTTTCAAGCCGACGCAGATCCGGCCTTGCCAGCCTCTTGAGCGTGATACACGAGTGCGTGGCAGCAGACAAAGGGGCGGGCGCCCGGACATGTTCACAGGCCGCATGCTGGTGCTGCCAAGGCATCCCACAGACGCAATCAAGCTCGAAAGGCGTTTCCTGGTGCCGGGGATGCAGCAAATGGTACAGCCTTGAGAAAGCTCTATGCTGATGATGCAGATGCTTAGCTGGTCCTGCCGGGCGATGGCCGGAGTAAGAAGCATAAGTTTTGTATGGCGCTCATTGCATTTCTTCCTTTACCGGTCACGGAAATCCTGCAGGAAGCACAGAACCTCACAACGAGGACTCGACACATTGCTCTGGGATGTTTCAAAGCGTTTCTGTTGGTTGTATTTGCAGATCCGGAGCCCAACATGGCTCAAAAAAGCAAAAACTTCCGAACGCAAGGTGAGGCGATTGCAGACTCTCCGGTGATGCCGGGGATGCAACACCTCCCCTTATGCACCCTTTTCCTCCGCTGGACGACCAGCGTCGGCGGATTTGTGCCTCCCTGTAGGGTTTGGGCTGACAGTGCAGAGAGAGCGAGAGACAGAGACTGAGAGAGATTGACACAGTTTGAAGCTTGCGACGTGCAGGCCCAGTGCCACTGCCACGCAAAGATGTAGGCCAGCCTCCTTCCCAGAGCTACTGGGGTGCCTGGTAGAAGGATGCATTTGTTTCAAACTGGCGCTGCCACTTTGCCAAGAAGAGAAGTGCATTTCTGGGAGAATCAACAGTTTGAGCCAATCCTCGCAAAAGTTTCCGGGAGAATGCGCTAAGGCCCACTGCGAGGTTCGACGTGGGGGACATTTGCGAAGTGATCGGGGCTGCGCTGCTGCCCCAGAGCTGATCTTCAGATTGAAGCGAACGCCCACACACACACACAGAGCAGCAGATTGAGGCACAGGTAGGCTTGGACCTAGCTTCAAGATATGAGGTAAGCAAATCTTTGTTTGCTTCTGGCACTGCTTCGCGGTGGCTTGTTCTCAGCTCCAAGTTTTGACAAAGGCTGGTGCGCAAGTCTGAAGATCTTGGTGGTGAACGAGTAGTTCAGCTGCTTGATGGGCGCTTTCCTGAGTTGCGTGGCATGAGCTTCCTCATGATATTTCATGGCTGATGGATGTAAGCTCGATCAAAATTGATGCATGCCACTGTTGCGAGAACTCAGGTGCCGGGTCGAGGTGACTGATATAGGCTGCAACCTGAAGCTTCCAGGGGGGAGCGAAAAGCTTCTGCATCATGCAGCCTTGCGAGCGGCTTGCTGGTCTTTCGAAGACGGCTACTAGGCTCTGGACCAAGTGGCAAGCGCATTGCCATTCAAGATGCCGATGGTCATCAGGGTTGGGTCTGCACCTTAAAACATTGCATGAAAAAATAGATCTTGGTTCTGTCCGGTGCAGGTGAGTGTCGTGTCCTCCAACGGCGAAGCACTCATTCGCATCATCGAAAAGGAGCGCTGGGCGAGTGATCGGATTTCGCACAAATTGACCGGTGCATATCGAGGAGCTTCGGAGCGATGCACGTGAGAAGAGGACGGAAAGAATTTCCCTCCCCCCCTCCTCCCCACCCCCCCTCGCGCCATAGCTCTGTTATGTTATGTGCACCAATTTTGCCAGATACAGCTTCTTCATGTGACTTCTGGACGGTTGTTCGGATGCGAGCAGATGTTATTAAGTTTCAGGGCTCAGCGGGACACATTCTTGCATTCCGAATCTGCTGAACATTTGGCGGCTGTCAACTCCGAGCGGAATGATGTATGACCAGAACCCACCATCAGAAGCATCAGCAACAGATGCATAGACATCGGTGGATTGTAGTTGTCACATCCCCGTATGCGCCAACTCCGGCCCACCCAAGGCCTCACTCCCCAATTGAATCAGGCACCATTTTTTAAAACGAGGATAGAAGCTGCAGCCAGAGCAGCTCGTCATGACCAGGGAAAGCCAACTTCGCGCTTCGCCGGGATCTTGTGCACGCAAGATGATGCATTGTGAATGTGAAAGTCATGGACACTTAGGAGGTTGGCGACCTTTGCCACGTCATCGCTAGTGTGCTGCGACCTCAAACGAGCTCTTCCAAAGCAAGAATTCTTTCGTGGTTGGCGCGGGCTTTCCGAGGATTGTCCGGAAGGAAGAAGCTTTGGAAAGCTCACAGATTGCAAGATTGCCTGATAGAAGGGAAGTGGAGGCGCAGCTTCTGCAAGACTTCACCGAACCAAAGGAGAATCGGTCTTTGCGGTGTGAGGTGCTTGAGATAGGCACTGGGGACAGTGGCAAACGCGTGTGCATCAAGGATGGTACAGGTGCACGACTCAGGGCTGGGATTTCTCGTCATGAGTCACCCGAGAGTGCTTTGGAAGCGCATGTGAAAACAAACAACGTGTGCACAGTGAGCAGAATTCAGCTTGGCAAACTGAACGCACTCAAAATAGTAGGTCGGTTGCTGAAAGTATCAAGTTCCACACTTCTGTTGCGGAAAACACGACGCCTGCCTGCATCAAACCAGCGTCACCATTCCGACATTCCCAGCATCACCAGTTTTGCATCTCCACTCCCAGCTTTGCCAGCATCCAGCAGCGTCAGCACGCTGACAGTCGCACAAGCGCTGACAGCCGCACAAGCGCTGACAGCAGCATCGGCAGCAACATCAGCACCAGCATCGGTGGCAGCGGCAGCACCAGCAGCGTCGCCAACACCAGCAACGGCCCTTGGAAACAACTTGCGCAACGTGCGGGTCTTTAATTTTCAGCCACGCTCTTTTTGTATTTGAGGCCCATGTCATCAATTAATGCGTGCCGCTCAGCTGTGTTTGCAATCCTTCGTGCAGCTGCTGCTGCTGCTGCTGCTGACGACGACGACAACGATGATGACGACGATGATGATGATGGTGATGATGATGATGATGATGATGATGATGATGATGATGATGATGATGATGATGATGATGATGATGGTGACGCGTTGAATTTCCCACGCGAACGGTGCTAGGATCATGACTTGGAATCTGATGATGTTCTTTAGAACAATTATCAAACGTGGAATCGGATGAGGAGCAAGGCCCAGGCGACTCCCAGCATGCCACGTCTTGCCCATTTCTTCTTGTGTTTTCGTGGACAACTCATCGTCAAAGATCTGGACAAGGTTTTGCGAGGATCCGGCAAGCACTCGGCCGAGGCATTGTTGGATGGATCAGCGTGGTGTCGTCAGATGGTCAGCCGGCAACGCACTCGCGCAGAAGGTGCAAGTGTTTCGACAGGTACACAACTTCTTCGCAAGGCACGACCCGTGTGCCTCGGCTATCAGAGTTTGAAGCACTCGATTCCAGACTCAGTGTGCATACGAGGCAGAGCGATCAGCCGCCACAACCACAAGCACAAGCACCAGCGCAACCGCAACCACCGACCTTTATGGAGGCAGGGGCCACTGGGTAGCACATATCGTAACTAGGCAGGGCGGGCAGATCTAGAAGTTGATGTATGTTGTTACTCACCGCTTAAATGGCCAAGCCGAACATTTCGAGTTGGGATGCAGATTTGGACAAATCGTGAGATCTGCGAGCCAGGGTGCAACGTTTAAGTAGCAGCTGCGCAAGACAACAAGGGATGGTCATTGCAAAGCATCTTTTCTCATGTTTTTTTCAAGATCCGTGGACAATCGGCCCTTGTATTCTTGTGAGCCACTGGATGAGGTAAGATATGAACCTTCTCAGGGCGCTTTCCATTGAAGGAACAGTGATTGACAGGCTTCCTCCGCGATTGTTGCGTGTTGACGCGAAACAGCCGGCCACCGGGCACCTTGCCCTTCCGTTCATGTTGCATCCCCTTATATTTCTTTCAGTTTCTCTTCATATCCTTTCATTTGCATTCCTTTCCCTTAATTTCCCTTCAGTTCTTGATTTCCCTTCATTTCTTTCATTTCCCTTCAGTTCGCATCCTTTGTTTTCATTTCACTTCATTTCACCTTCATTTCACCTTCATTGCCCTCAATTTTCCTCTCCCACCTTGAGTTCCGTTCATTTCCCTTCACTTATGTCCCTTCATTTCCATTCATTTCTCTTCATTTCCAAACAGTTTTCTTCATTTGCCTTCATTTCCAGTTTCATTTTGCATCCGCAACTTTCAAGATGACTCGGCAATGCGGGGGATGCTGTCCTGAAGCGTTTTTTTGACCGCGTGGAGACGCGCATCAATACGCAAAAAATCGACCAACCAATCTGCAATTCCTCGGCAAACCGCACGTTCATGGGCGCGTGCTTGTCGGCACCTGCAGCTAGTTTGATGCGGCACTTTTGCGAAAGCAGGTCAGGCTCTCCCTTTATTGATGAAAACACTCATGCCAAAATTTGTCCGGAGAACAGGATGGCTTGGACGAGCTGCGATTTCTTGCCAGTCCTGATTTGCCCGGCAGACAGGACGGGTGGGACGAGCTGCGATTTCTTACTTCCTGATTTACCCGCGAATTGGATGAGCTGCGATTGCTACCTGTCCCGATTTGCCTAGGAAACAGGACTGTTTGGACGAGCTGCGATTTGGAAGAATCGGGTCTAGTTTGTTTTATTATCTTTGTCAAGTTTGTTTGGAACACAGTGGCATTGGTGCCACATTTGTTTGGGGCACACCCCCTTTCCCGCAGGACTCCTTGTTGGACATGTCACGTGTCATTTGCTCAACGGCAGGCAGCTCCGTCCATGCCCCAAGAGCCAGCGCCGGCGTCAAGGGCAGATGCCTGGGGCATACCATCTGACCCGGAAGTGGTTTGGATGGGCGGTTTGAGGACTTGAGCCCTCGTTTTTGCTTGAGACTCACTGAGAGGCTATTATTCTAGCGTATGGGCCAACCCAAATCGCCAATCCAAACCACCAATCCAACCCCGCAGAAGGGTGCAGCAAGTTGAGCCAGCCCGGCTCTTCGTATCTCGAGGAATTCCAGCCTCTGGCCAAATTCTCGGAACCCTCTGTGCTGGTGGCGCGCTCAGCGCATGCAGCGAGAGCTCTCGGGATTTCATATTGCTCCCAAGGTCAGTTCAGCCAGAGCTCAGCGCGGTTTTGATGTCGCGCGAAGCTTAGCTGCGGATGTCATCAGCCATTTCTTCCCTTCGCATATGCACCTGTAAACCTTGTGGCTGTGTGGGCTGACGATGCCAGGAAGTCTCCTTCTTGCAGAGGGAGCATATGGAGCAGCTTTTGTCTGAGAAGTTTGCCAGCGAAGGCATCCAGGCTGGGAGCCCGCGACAGGAGGTTTCTGGATGCAATCCAAGCTCCAGGAGCCAAACTACGATTGCATCAAGCTTCGAGACGCCAAGGGCCGATGGTACAGGCAGGTGGTTGCAGTGTGCGAAACGGGCATTTGACGTGACTGGCAGGCCAGGTGAAGCGCCTGATGTTCCCTCTCCAGACCTTTTTCCTATCACCTTGTACTACAGGCTACATGGTGTTTGCGATGCAGTTGCGTTTTGTGTGGCAGAATAACTTGCTAGGGCTCAGCTATGCTTCAGGCCGCCGAAGCCAACTTACTCAGCCGAGACCGTGCAGCACTTGGGAAATGTTTGGCAGGAAATCTGTCAGTGATATTTACTGACTCATGTCTTGCGAAAGCCAAACGCTTCGTTGATCAACGGCTTGCAGCATTGTTGCAGGATGCTAGTTTCACCATCCACACATTCCCCAACATCTCGCACATTCCGTATATCCAGCAGCTGAATCATTTCCAACATCCCCAGCATGACCGGTATCACCTGCATTCCTCACCATCATCATCATGTACGATATCTTCAGCATCGTCAACATTTTCAGCATCCCTTGCAGCTCCAACATGCATGCCAGCGCCAGCATCATCAGCATCACCAGCATTCCCAGCACTTGGTTTCAAAGCATCAGCAGTGGGACCGGTGGCATGACATCCCGAGCACGCTTCACAAAGCAGTAATTCCTGCAGAATGGGAATCCACAGCAGTGTGCCAGCTCTTTTGATAGAGAAGTTCTGGCCCCCCTTTGGTAGGAATTGATATTGCTTGATTTGTTTTGAAGTGCTGGAGGCCCTATTGCGATCGATGATGTTATATAGCCGTTTTTTGTATTTGGCACAAATTTACTTTTGCATGATTCGCTTGGACGGTATTTCTTGTAAACATGCTTGCTTCAGATAATGTCTATGGTTGTGAGTACAGCAATGTCCCCGATGGATCATTTATGAAATTCACGTTCAGCAGCTAGTGACGCAGACCAAAGAAGCTGTGCGTCAAGTTAGCCCACACTCGGGCAACCCAACCATCTTTGCGTTTTGACATTTTCACAAATGTGTGTGATCCTGCTTTTAATGTATTATTGCAGTGGATGATATTTGACTGGATATTTGATAGTCTGCTTTATCATCTTAGATTTCACCCAGTCAGGCTGGCTTTGTGTGATTTTTCAGACTTATGTTGAATATGCAGGGATTGGCTATTCTTTCAAGATTATGACTGTTGCGCCACATTCGAAACTGTCAGGTCTCTAATATGTTTTCCTCTGATTTGGCACGCACTCAGACACGTTAGAGTGTTTGCCTCTTATTTTCCGGGTGCTGAAGGTTGAGCAAAGAAAAAAACGGCGTTAAGGTGCTGGCCTTGCGGCAGCGACAAGCATACGAGGCCGGGGCAGCGAAAAGGGCCACTGCCATTTTGTTGTCTTGAAATACTAGGCCTTGTCTCCTACTCAGCGTCGAGGATTGAAAGAGGTACAGTCTGGTCCCAAGTCAGCGTAAGCGGAACGCGTGTTTTGGAATTTCAACCAAGGCGTCAGCTGGAACTCGCATACTCACAGGAGAACAACGATCTCCTGGACTGAAAAGTGTGCTGCTTGTGGATGTCTGCAAAGCCATGCCAGTTCAATGGCGTTTCATGGTGCCTGTTTCAGACATTGATCACCGCATTAGTGGCTAGGGGGGCACAGCTGCAGCAGGAAAAGTAGCTGCGCCACCACTGCAGGCAATCCATTACTTGGCCTACCCGCCGTGCTAAGCTATCAAATGCGTGGGTAAACTGTCTGCAAACTTGGTTGAAATATTCCCGGGCACAGACACAAGCAAACCCCACACTTCCTTCTCGATATGCTGAGACAGGCGGATCGGGCGCAATTGATAGTAAGCCACGTACGGCCCACTCGCTGTGTTCGGCACTCGGATGAACACACATTTTTCCTTTGAAGCCTTTTTCGTGAAGACTGAGCCCATATGCCCCTGGAGCATGAGTTGAGTGAATGTCGGCTTCTCCAGAGAACGTGAAGCACTCTGCCAAGTAAATCGAGGTTGCGAAGATCCCAACCTCCCACTGGGTCAAGTTGGTAGATGGTTTGTGCATTAGCCAAGTGGTCAACAGAATACCTGTGAACCTCCTCCCATCAAGTTTTCTCGTGCGACTCCAGGGAATGCACTGTTGACGATGTTTTGTTGCATGATTGCGTCCTTTTCATGTTGCATCTCTAGTTCGTGATGCAAGCCGGCAGGACCGAGCAATGCGACTCGCACACTCGTGTGGACTTCCCCTCGGGACAGTAGTTTCGTGTTGACATCATGGAAGCATGACCATGCTTTTTGTTCGTTTGACTTTTTCAGTCCTCGTAGGACTGCTGGCCTGCCAGTATCCTTGATGCCTGAGACAGTGTGCTTTCCAAAAGGCCAGACACTGAGCTGCACCTGTAGTCTTTGGTCCCAAAGCATATCTCTGGCTTGCAGGCAACGAGCCTTTGCTCTACGATGGGCACCTGTACTCTATGCATTCAACTTCCCTTCTGGTTTTTGATCCGCCAGACTTCAGTGTGCCAGGAGCCCAGCGCAACAATCTGCTTGCAAAGCAGGTGCCTTCGAGCAACAATTTGTTTTGGATCAATAGTGTTGAACGGTTTGAACGTGTTTCTCTCGTTCGCAGAACTTCCTTTCTAGATTCTAGACTATCGTAGGAAAGTGTGCGGAATGCTTGCATTGGCTCAAGCCGAATGTAGCGCTTTCACCACTGGCCCTCGCCATGCGCCTGCGCTTGCCATGCTTGTTGCTGGTGCCTGCCCTGGCCTTTCCAAAGCAGATTTGGTCCTTCTGGGATACGGAAGATCTGCCGAGAATGGCCCAGTTGGCTGTGGCGTCCTGGAAATACTATGCCCCTGACTACGAAGTGAAGATCATGCATTTCGACACATACAAACAGTTTGTACAAGGAGAAGAGCATGTTACACCAAAGGACCTTCGCCATACCTACCGATTCAGTGACTGGTTGCGGACCGCTGTGCTCGCACGGCATGGCGGAGTATGGCTCGATGCAACCATACTTCTGACGGCCCCCCTGCAGCACATGGTCAACGAATCCGCCAGCTTCAGCGGAATTCACTTGGAGGATCGCCTGGAAGGTTTCTTCTTGGCGTCTGTGGCTGGTTCTGAGCTGATGAAACGCTGGAGCGACGAGATTCTTCACATCTCACGGCTGAACAAAAGTGACTTTGATCAGTACCTCACTGACCTACGGGCTCGTGGAATTCAACCCCTGAATGGTGCCATGAACACTTGCGACTGGAGCTTCAAGTCTCCCTTGCATTCAGTGGCGCATTTGGGCTTACACTCCTTCGCGTGGATTGTGAACTCTTTGATCTTCGCAACGAATTTCTACTTGCACATTTGCAACGAACGCTATTGGATGGACTACTTATATCCGATTGTTGCCTTCTATAACGTTCTCAGCCAAGAGCCTAGGAGTCACTGGGATCTTCATATAACAGACTCTTTGAGGAATTTCAATTTTGTATCCTTTTCGCTTGGATGGAACAGCAGCGACATTGTCCACTTTATGTCAACTTCGCGAAGTCAAAGCTTTGACCTGGTGGGAGTTCGTGGGATCAAACTGCGCAAAACGGAACGGGACATGTCTGAATCCTTGAAGAACTGCGAACAGGGAAGCGTAATATGCCGTTTGCAGAGAGACACCGGCATGCACGTTTTCGCAGAAGTGCCTGCGCTTGAAGCGCCTGACAAGTCCATGGAGTTGTGACACAAGGCGAAGCTCACCTTGGAGCCGCTCCGATGCTGTGGTGTCACAGTGGAGTCGCAGGTCGCGATGGGAAAAAGCCGTAGGTAGCTCGTGAGTTAAATCATCGTCCAGCTTGCTTGAACTGCTAGATTGATTTGCCGGTGTCGAATGACACAACTCGCTGACACAACACCGAACAGCATCACGAATATACACATGTACATTCAGTCTGTTTGTAGATGTGAATGTACACACACCGGACCAATCATAGTTTGATGTGTAGCATGTCACTCCGAAGTATCTTTTTGTTGTTGTTGTTGTAGACAATGATCAATGAGTCGAAACAGTCACTGTTGAGCATGCAGATGGCCTCGGAAGACTACAGCATCACGCTTTCTCAACCTTCTTCTTTTTCGCTGCCTCACAACAGTCAGTAAGGTTTGAGCCACGTTTCTTACGTGCAGCCCAAGATTCAGACAGTATGTGCTTTTCGTGAAATTGGGGCCCCTCTCCAGAACAAACCTCGTGAGGCGAACATTGACCGATTCAGGCTAACCCCGAATTGGAGCTTCAGCCACTTGGGGTGCTTCAGCCATTTTGAGACTCGGGTGCCGCGTTTAGGGACCACTCGCTCAAGTGCATCCGTGCAGCGCTGCAGATCTGCTTGCCAGATGAAAAGAACACCTGCTCAAGTGCACCTGCACGGCATTGCATATTTGACTGACAAATAATGTAAGGGCTGCCGCCCTGTGCCGCCGCCCCCGGCTTCCTTAGAACAATTATGACTACGCGATTTTTTGTCGGGTTTAACGGCAGACTTAATGCATACATGAAAAAGAACAGCACCACGATAATGATCATGCTTTGATGTTACAAGAAGTGCCCTAGTGTGTGGAAACTTGGGCAGGAAAACCATGTTGGGGGACTGCGACTGCGTATCTTTTAAGTTTTAGCAGAACGGGCACGCGTTTTGCATTGCTGTTGGTTCTGTGGGTGCTGGCTTTGCCTCCCCTATTTTACGGCGTCTAGGCGGGGGGATTCCAGCTTTTTGTTCAAGTATTAATGAGGAGGCGAATCTTGGCGCGTTTCTTTGTTCTGCATTATTCTGAAGTGCGAAACTCTGAAGGGCGAAACTCTCGCGATTTTTTTTCGGGGTGTTGGCCGTGTTATCCGCGCTGCGTGGTCGGGCAGGTGCGGATTGTGACTGCGCATCTTTTCAATTTTGGCAGAACGGGTCTGCATTTTGCATTGTGGTTGGTTTCGGCGTTGCTGGCTTTTCCCCCCCCCCTTTTTTAAGGCGTTTTGGGGGGGGGGTGAAGTGTTGTGAATAAGTAGGTGATTTGTGGGGGGGGGGGGGGTAACCATGAATTCATTGTCGAGCTTGGCATGACGGTTTTTTTTCTACATGGCACGGGGTCAGAGTTAGAGCCATTGTGTTTCTACAACAGTGTGTCGGATAATGGTCCATGACCCAGCTCATCAAGAAGCCCTTCGTCCGGCATGTTGAACGCTGAAGACAAAACTTGTCGTTGAATCAGACTCGCAAGGGAAACTTGAGTGTAGAGCTGCTTCACAAACCAGCACACCCAGCACTCAGTTTTCAAACCGTGCTTTCACGACATTCGTTCAGCCCTGCTAGCGTTGTGCTATGTTGCTTTTCAATCAGGCGTTCCTTATTTTGTGGCCAGGTTTCCAGTCCCTTGCGCATTTGCATATGCGCCGAGAGAAGCAAACCTGCTGTGATAGTTCACTTTCATCATCATAATTATCATCATCATATTCATCATCATGTTCATCATCATGTTCATCATTATCATCATCATCATCATCATCATCATCATTTTCATCATCATGTCCATCATCATCATCATCATCATCATCATCATCATTTTCATCATCATGTCCATCATCATCATCATCATCATTTTCATCATTTTCTTCATCATGTTCTTCATCATCATCATCATCATCATCCTCCGCATTTCCAATCAGGTCTAACGGCACACTTGAAACGTATATGAAAAAGAAGTGTGATGATGAAACATGATGAGGAACATGATGATGCAAACGATGATGATGATGATGATGATGAACGATGATGATGAACATGATGATGAGGATGATGATGAGGATGATGATGAACATGATGATGATGATGATGATGATGATGATGATGATGATGATGATGATGAAAGTGAGCATGGTGGTGTGCATCATCATCATCATCATCATGTTGATCATCATCATCATCATCATCATCATCATTTTCATCATCATGTCCATCATCATGTCCATCATCATCATCATATCATCATCATCATTTTCATCATCATTTTCGTCATCATGTTCTTCTTCATCATCATCATCATCATCATCATCCGCATTTCCAATCAGGTCTAACGGCACACTTGAAACGTATATGAAAAAGAAGTGTGATGATGAAACATGATGAGGAACATGATGATGCAAACGATGATGATGATGATGATGATGATGATGATGATGAACGTTGATGATGATGATGATGAGGATGATGATGAGGATGATGATGAACATGATGAACATGATGATGATGATGATGATGATGATGATGATGATGATGATGATGATGATGATGATGATGATGAAAGTGATCATGGTGGTGTGCATCATCATCATTATGTTGATCATCATCATCATCATCATCATCATCATCATCATTTTCATCATCATGCTCATCAAATATCCACCAACGTTTTGACATTGCCTACCTGTTGAGCTCTGAGAGCGGCCGGGCAAGGCGGACCTAATCATGTTGCCCCCTTTGATGTGTTCATGCAACATGTTGCAAAGTTTGTCTGACTTTGGAAGACACAAAAAAGACGGAAAACGGCGGGAAACGGACGGAAAAAGAGGGGAAACGGACGGAAAACAACGGATTCCAATAATACCTGGTGTCTACAGGTCTTGTGGTCGTGGGAACCTAGATTGTGCAAAGCTATGATTCACGCGCTGTGTTCATTGTCGAGATTTCTTGTCTGCCTTGTCGCGTGCGGAATCTTTGAGAACTCAAGCCATGGGCGAAGCTCCTTAGCTGAAAGTCCCCGCAACTGTTTCCTGCTTCCCTTAAAAGCTGTAGACTCAAATACGCAAAGCTACGTGCATCCGTCAAGAGTTTTGGGAAAGCATGTGTTGAATTCTTATGGGCTTGTGAAATACGAGCATCGAGCGTGGCCTGCAAGAGACTATTAGGACCGGTGACTGCGGCGGGCCGTTTGTAAATAAGAGCTTTGCTGCCTTCGTTTCGTGCAGGCTAGCAAGACCTCAGCAGCTCCTTGATGGATTGTTCATGCGCACTTGTCATATATAGCTGCGAAGCAAATGAGGATGCTGTTGGCAAATCCGAAAGGCTTCCCGCAAACGGTTTTGGCACGTAAGGGCCCTTGTGCAAGCGTAAGTTTCTATATGGAGGCAGTTAAAAATGAGCCAGATCTCAATGTTTCGGCCAAAGCATGTTGAAGCGGGGCGCCGCAATAGGGGACTGTTCCCTATGTGGGATTGCCAAGGAAGGACGACCTAAGAAACGGACCGTTTTTTGCTGCCACGTACGCTTTTCCCAGAAACGGACGGATTTAGGCGGACTGTCCCAAAAAAAGTGCCCACGGTGGGTCCAGGTCTGAAAAAGAATGATGATGATGAACAAAATGATGATGATGAGGAGGAGGATGATGATGATGAACGAACATGATGATGATGAACAAACATGATGCTGATGATGATGATGATGATGATGATGATGAAAGTGATCATGGTGGTGTGCATCATCATCATCATCATCATCATCATCATCATCATCATCATTTTCAATCATCATCATTTTCATCATCATTTTCGTCATCATGTTCATCATCATCATCATTTTCATCATCATGTTCTTCATCATCATCATGATCATCATCAATGATCATCACCATCATTTTCATCATCATGTTCATCATCATGTTCATCATCATCTTCATATCATGTTCATGATCATCATCATCATCATCATTTTCATCATCATGTTCTGCATTATCATCAGGGATGAAGAACATGATGACGAAAATGATCATGATGAACGATGAACATAATATGATGATGATGAAGATAATGATGATGAACGAACATGATTTTGATGATGATGATGATGATGATGATGATGAAAGTGATCATGGTGGTGTGTGCATCATCATCATCATTTTCATGATTGCTCATCATCATCATCATCATGTTCGTCATCGTTGTGTTCATCATCAGCATCATCATTTTCATCATCATGTTCATCATCATCATCATCATCATTTTCATCATCATCATCATCATCATCATCCTGATGATAATCATCACTACGCATCCGCAGCATCACCAGCAGTTATCATGACAATCATCACAACGCATCCTCTGCATTTCCAGTCGGGTCTAAGAAAAAGGAAAAAGAAGAGCGCCTGAACATGATGATGAAAATGATGATGATCACAATGAAGACGAAAATGATCGTTAACTGCTGGTGATGCTGAGGATGTCAGGATGATATGACGATGTCCATGTTCATCATCCTGGTGATGCTGAGGATGCGTATCATCACTACGCATCCTCAGCATCACCAACGCATCCTCTGCATTTCCAGTCGGGTCTAACGGCACTTGAAACGCATATGAAAAAGAAGAGCGATGATGAACATGCAGGAACATGATGATGATGATGAACATGCAAATGATGATCATCATCAATCATCATCATCATTTTCATCATCATTTTCATCATCATTTTCATCATCATGTTCATCATCATCATCATTTTCATTATCATGTTCATCATCATCATCATCATCATCATCATCATCATCATCATCATCATCATCATCATCCTGATGATACTGCTCAAGTGCGTCTGCGCAGCACGATCTGCTTGCCATTGATAAGAACACCCACTCCTGCGCGCGCCAGAGGGCTGCAAAGTGGCCCAGTTTGTTTTTTTGCACGGTGTTAGGCTGCAATGCCTGCGCCCGCAGAGCCTCGTGGCCTGTTGTTTGGGATCAACATATTGCACTGACCAGTCTTGTAATGCTGGTTTTCGGGCCCATGACACAAGTTTACGAAGCCGCCCGGCATGTTTCTAAATCAATCTCTCCGACTGATGAGATCCGATTTACAATCATTGTCTACGAGTTGCCGTCAAGTTCCTAAATAAAGTCGTTACTCTGCATCCAAGTTTCCGGATCATTACAGAACGCCGAGTGTGGCAATCAATCTTGCCAGGTTTACGAATCCAAGTTTCCGAGCTTCCAAACTTCCGAATCCGCGCACCAAGTTTCCGAGCCCAGCGCTTCAAGTTTCCGAATATCCGTGCGTGATCTTCGTGAGGCAGTGCTTGGCCGAGGCCCATGGGCGTCTGGAACCCACAACGGCAGCGAGTGGACCCTGCAGTCATGCAGCTGCCGCCTGAGATTCTCCGCGGCCTACGCGGAAGCCTTTCAAGGGACAGAGTGATCCTCAGGAACGAGAACAAGTCCTCAGACATTGTACACTTCGGAAAGCCAGCGCCTTCTTTGACTTCAAGAGTCGCTAGAACATAGTGGCACGATCCAACAAGGACCTTCCACATGCTCGAGCAGGGCCAGATCATAGATCCGGACTCTCAGCAGGCCTCATGAGATCTTTGGTGGGGTGGGGTGGCCTTAGGGTTTTATTTTCCTTCTCGAAATGGAAGGGGACACGGCCATTGGGAAGGGGGCTGCCGGCATGCTTCTTCACAGGTCATCGGGATGATCCGACCCTTGACCGGGGATTTCGAGTTTTTTGACCCCATTCCGTTGCAAGTCGCTGCCTCAAGTTGCGGCTGTGCATTTGGGTATGGGCCATGGGTCAAAATAAAACCACCAGGGCACCGCAGGATTTAGTTTTTGGTTCCATTTACCAGGGGTCCGTTTTGGGTGCGGATCTTTGACCCACAGTCATTTCCTTTGCTTGTCGAGCGGCACGTCTCAGGTTGCCAACTTCATGATGAAGCGCGGCTTCCGCCTGGAAGCCCCGTCCGCACAGCTGACGAAGCTGCCCTTCGTGCAGCTGAGCAGCACGTGCAGCAGCACGAAGCACGACGTCGAAGCGCTTGTGCGCGACACATTTTTTTTTTTGTGCCGCGATTGCCTGGAACCTAGGCAAATCCTGCCTGAGGCCAGTGTGAAGGGGCTGGGAAAAAATGGGCAGGGTTGGCAGCTTGTGCCTAAGCTTTCAGCTTTGGAGCAGGTGGAAGCTCAGGAAGGGAATCCAGTTGCCGCCTTAGCCAGTTGCTGATTCAGTGTTTCAAGGTTTCGACCCATTTGCGTACATCACACTTCCGACTCTGTGAGTCGTGAAGCGCATGCCTTTGCAGGAATTGCACTTGCATATGCAATCTGCCGGCAATGCCAAAGCGAACTCCTGGCATGATTTTAGCCCAGATTTACTTCAGCATGCCAATGTTGCTTGGACAACTTGGGAAGACTCGCTTTGTACGATTCTTTGCATGGCAGGCTGAAGTACGCACCCGTTGAAGAGCGGGGGAACAAAGATGCGCTCATGAAGGCTATGCGTCAGGCCTGCTAATATTGGTGGAATGCTGTGTCAAATGGGTGTGTCTCCTTTTGGTTGGTTGTAAAGGGAAGCCAAAGGGACAAGAGCAATTTTGGGCGGGCGCTCATTTTTGGAGACAGACGCACATAGTTGGCCAAAAAGAGCGATTCTCAGCGCTGCAGCCTAGGGAGCAGGGCCGCAGAGCTGGAAGATCATGCTTATCGGAAGTGAAGCGTCTTGGGCCTACCTTGCTGTATGACGCTGCTTGGAGCTGACCCTTCTTAGGCTGCAGTCTGACCGTGATGTGCTTGCCGAAGCTGTGAAGCAGGACTTTGCCTGCAGGATGAGCGATCATCATTTAATTGCTGCATGCCCAGGACTACTCAGTCTAGCCCCAAGCATTTCAGCCCATCACCTGCCACGCAACCGTACCGTTTGGAGGCAATGGCTTATGCGTCAGCCTTCTCTGATGACCGCGATTTCATGATGCAGGCAGCTTTGATGCGCTTTGTGAGAGCTTGCCCGTGATGGCAAACAGGCATCATTGAAAACCTGGCAGACTTATTACCAAGCACAGACCGCATAGGCACTTTGAAGCCAAGACTCTATCGGCGTAGGCAGTCCTAGGCACTTTCAGCCTGACGTGGGCGCGTGTTACGCTCGTGCTTCTGAGCAAAGACACTGAAGAATAATGCACATGCATGATTCACTCTTGAAAGTCTTGGCTGGATTGATGTTGCTTCAAACATGTTCTGCAGCACTTGAGCATCTTTGGCCAGGCAGCGCAACAGCACGGATTGACGCTGAGATATGGGAGCGAACACTTACGCCGGAGACTGACTCTTTGCTTTAGGAGACGAGAGCAGCCAGTGTAGCCCAGTTTGTCCAGCATTGGCCGTTTGCTGAGTTGCATGCCCTGCGGGCTTTTCGAGCGAAGGTGCAGACCCAGATATTTGTTATGCAGCGGCCAGTTGCCAAGCTTGGGTGATCTACTCCAATGCTGTGCGTTGTGTTGCTGCCTTGGCAGCCCGGCAAAGGTAAAAGCCAGCTGGCGAGCTTTGCAGCACGTGTCCCCCAAGCTGCGTGGATCCTCGCGCATGGCTCGGGTCTCAATTTCGCCAGCATGACAGGGGGCCGCCAGCATGCGCAGCTGCTTTGCGTTGGGTGTGTATTTCTTTTTAGGAGACCTTCCAAACACGTTGGTTTTTCGAAGATGGTTTCCCACCAAAAACGACACGTGTTGCATGCCTGGCTCGTCTTGGCCGCGTTCGGTCGAAGGTGCGAGAGGCCGTGAAGCAGTGCTGGCAGGCCCTGGAGTATGCCTCCGAGGTGCCCTTCCGGATCCAGAAGCGAACAGACATGGCTGTGGGTCAAAACCAATGGTACCATTTTGGGGTAGGTGCATTACCCATTTTAGTCAATTTTAGTGGGGATTGGGATGTTCACCGGGGGTACGGGCTTTTGACCCATGGCCACATGCAGCTGAGCATGTCCTTAGGAATTGCAAGATGACAAGGACACGATAAGCTGGGGCCTTACCATGTGTCTCTTTTGAGCGATCCAAAACCAAACAGAGTTGCTGAGATCTGGCCTTGAAGCAAACCTGGCACTGCCTTCAGTTTGCTGCTGGAACCTCATGAGTCCGCGTATGCACGCAGTCAGTCTTGCCTGCACTAAGTCCCTCCGACTTCGATCGGATGCTTCCTTCATGTTGAAGGCTGTTGACCAGAGCGCTGCCGTTGACTCATTCTTCAACCCTCAGGGAGCAGTTAGCATTTCTTTGAATAGAGCAGTTGGCATTCCAAGGATGCCCTACAGTTTGCCACAGATGCTCTTCTGTGCAACCATGAGTTCATGCAGCAGGTGGGCGGTTGTGTGATTGCGTCAGTGAAGGTGAGGCTTATTTTATGTAATTTGTTCCTCCTCCACAAGCTCCCGGTTTGGTGCTGGATTCAGTGCTACGAGTTTGCTTTTCTGCCGCTGATTGACGCCTCCCGCGGACATTTGTGTACTGGAGGCGGTGGAGATTGATGGCATGGCTCTTCAATTTGCAGCCACTTTGTCAAAGCAAGACGGAGAGAGAGCGAAAGAGAGAGAGAGAGAGAGAGAGAGAGAGAGAGAGAAAGAGAGAGAGAGTGGGAGGGAGGGAGGGAGGGAGAGGAGACGAGAGGGAGAGGAGAGGGAGAGAGAGAGGGAGAGAGAGAGGGAGAGAGAGAGGGAGAGAGAGAGGGAGAGAGAGAGAGAGAGAGACAGAGAGAGAGAGAGAGAGAGAGAGAGAGAGAGAGGGAGGGAGGGAGAGAGGCAGATGAGGGCAGAATATTCCCCCATGCATATTTCATTTGCAGCTCTCAGGCCATGGACATAGTTGACCGCGATTTGGTGCTGAAGGCACTGCGGCGGTCACTACGCAATCATCCTTATGAATCAACCGAGAGGGTCCAAGTACCTAAGAAGGTACTTAGGCCTCTGTTTACCCCTAAAGAACCCAGGAGGCACTTGGACCCTCTGGGTCAATTCTCACACCTGAAGTGAGGAATCCCGAATGACCTTCATCCGCTCATTTCACCCAAAGGGTGAGTTCTTGTGACCAATGATCATTGCACAGTTCTACTTGTTCACGATGTGCACCCAGACCTTGCATCATGCACGTGTGTGGCTTCAAGCTTTCGCATGGCAGGCGGTGCAGAAGACTTGGCGTGCCTTGCAACATGCGCCAGAATCTCTTCGTTCAGATAGAGCTGTGGTATTGGAGGCGCTGCTGATACTCCTTGGATGCTTGAAGAAGCCGCAGACCGGAGCAGACTCAGCGAGAAGCTTTGACAGGCGGTTCGGCAGCACCATGCTGCGTTGCAGCTCGCTTCTCCAGAAATCCTTCTCGACGAGGATCGAGCATGCTTAGCACAACTCTCTCTCTCTCTCTCTCTCTCTCTCTCTCTCTCTCTGTCTCTCTCTCTCTCTCTCTCTTTCTCTCTCTCTCTCTATGTTTCTCTATACACATCATATATGTGTTTCAGAATATTGCAGATGGCTTGCAAGATTGCCCAGCATTGCCTTCGAGTTGGACTGCCAGGATCTGGTGTTTGAAGCAGCTAGAAGGCGGCCAGATTTCCTGCGTGGGCTCACTCATCAAGCCGCGTGAACACACAAACTGCGCATGTCCTAAGGCTTTGTTCCGGAGTGTGTGCGTGAAAGCAAAGGCAGGGAGAGGGACTCGATGGCATGGCTTCGCGTTGGACTCGATCGCCTTGCCAGGCCTTATGATGCGCATGGTGAAGCTACAGCCCATGACGCTGCAGTATGTGACTGGTGAGTTACGCCGGGAGCTGACTATGCCGCGAGTTCTGTTCTTTTCAGAGAAAGGCTTGGACACCTTTTTTTGCCAGGATATGATGAGGAGCTTGTGCTTGAGGCAGGGTTTGTAGACCTGCAACATGCGCAGACCCTGCAAACTGTGCCAACCCCACGTGGCGATGGCGTGCGAGCGCCATGCATGATTGCCGCAAGGCAGTTCGACGCAATTGGAGAAGTCTCCAGCATGCTGCCCCGGAGTTGCGAGCATCGCGCGTGCCTCAGGTCTCTTGGTTTTGGAGGTTTGCAGAGTGGGGAATTTGATTTTCCCTGGAAATCAGATCGAGTCTTCAACTGTGTCATGTGGGTGTCTGTTTTTTACTAAGCAATCATTTTAGCAACACGGAGCTAACCGGATTCGCGCGAGAAAACCGGAAAACCGATAACACCAAGAACACCGTGGTTTTCGCGTTTTCGCGGTTTTCGCGGTTTTCACGTTTTTGCGGTTTCGCGGTTTTGGTGCTTTTCGTGGTTTCGTTTTTTTGCGCTTTGCGGTGTTCGCGTTTTCGCGATGTTCGCAGGTGTTCGCTGCAAGTTTCCGTTGTTACTATGCTTAATGGCCTTATGTTTTGAGCCCCCAGCGGTCATAGAAATAAGATAGGTAGGTAGATAGATAGATAGATAGACAGTTAATTATCACGATGACATTTATGGCCCAGAGGTTCATGAGTCAGATACCCGTTTGCAAGGTGAACCGACAAGTCAATTCGTACAGATGGATAGCATGCCCGCATGCTATCGTTTGGCTCAAGACAAAAAGGCGCGCACCGCGCGCGTTTGCCCAAGTTAAGGGAGAGATCGCAGTCACGGCGGGATTCGTTCCTTTTAAGGTCCCGGGTTCCCCCATTGTTGAGAAAACAGTGTTTCCCTCTCCTTTGAGTGGTTATCAGCCGTGACGCTTTTCGGGAAAACAAACCCTTCTGTGACTGCGGCCGTTTCGGTCGCGCATGGAAGCCGGCCCTCACCGCGGCAATCGCGGTGGCAAGGGGCCGCGTGCTCGTCTGTGCAACACATTACAACAGATTGTGGTTGACGAATACAAGAAGCAAGACCGACGTTTTCGCTGGATCAAGTTTACAGAGGCCTCAAAGCAGCCCTTTTTACCTGGCAGGAAACATTGGACAGCTGGCACTTGTGTCATTTCGACCCAGAGGTCATTGAGGCCGCCGACAACGCTTACCAACAGCGTCTTGCTTCGGTTGAAACCGCTGGTGCGGCCAGGATAGCGCCGCAGCCTCTGGCGCGGCAGGGTCTATAGCAGCAAGGTCGAGGATTGGTTGCGACCTCCTTCGCCCCGCCGACTCCATCCTGGCAACAAGATCCTCCTCGTGAGCCACTGCCTCGTCACCGACCGTCTGCAGAAGAGAAGCAAGTGTTGCGAGGTGCTGCCAAAACTGCACTTCGTGGGTAGTATACGCTAAAGCCGCGGAAGCGCGGCAGGACAGCAGCCGGGAACGATCGCCTCTTCCGAGATCAAGGCCTCCTTCATCTCCAAGGCAAGAGCTGGCACCCGTCCCTGTGGAGCATCGGGCACAGAGCGTTGAACCCGCACTTCCACGGAAAAGCAGACCGTCAAGGACATCTCTCGCAAGAACAGTATTTACCCCGTGACACGCTTCGACGAGCACGGCACTTGGGTACTCGTTCGAGAGGCTTCACAGGCACGCGAGCTAGGCGACATCTCACCGCCGGGCGAAGCGGACATCCCGACATCTCCGTCAGGCTGACCCGTATTCACTTGCGGACAAGACGTGGAGAGATCCGCCCAGGCGATCATCCACAAGCTCGCGATCACGATCTCCAGATCGACGCCCAGGACCAGCGGAGCACTATCGTCTCGACGCCTATAGCTCAGAGGGAGCCTACGCAGGACGCGGAAGCTCTTACAACTGGCAGGGCGGCTTACGTGCCTCGGCGCGTATACGAGGCACCAGCGCATATTGAGCCTATTGCTTTGCGTAGCAGGAGGATTTGGAACAACAGAGCAGCCGCCGTCAAGGGCCGCGCCAAAGATCATTTTTGGCAGCAAGCCTCCATTGCCCAAGGAACTTCCTCGTGCAGGTTCTTCGGCTCCAGCAAAGGCTTCTATTCCTACAAAATCCCCTCCTCGAGCAATTGGTTGCTAATCAAGTGGCTCCGCCACCTCCGCCTCCGGCTGCGCCACCTCCAGTGCCTCCCATGCCCCTCGCAGGGGCGCCGCCTCCGCCAAAAGCTGGCGACGGCACTCGTGTTCCGCCAGTACCAATTGCAATTTTAGGAGGGTTATACTTGTCAGCCCCACAAGCGCCATCGGCCGCAAGCTCCGACTCGTCATCAGACTCCGATGGAGCTGACGATACCCCACAATGTCGAGTTTGTGGCGGCAGTCATGAAGACACGGAATGCCCACACCTCACCATGAATGGTGGTGGGGGAGGCGGGGGCCGCCATCGATCGCGCCACATATGAGGAGTCCGTTGTTCGTGTCAAGGATCTCAAGGATCTTGTACTACCACCCCCTCCGGAGAATGCGGGTCAGGCTAGAGGTTTCGTCAAGCAAGTTTTGATGGCCATCGCTCGACTCCAAAAGACCCCCGGAGACGAAGTATACCAGCGGGCCCAAGCGTGTATGTCCTCCTCTGAGCAGGAACTCGTCGCGGACAAGCGCTTCCCACGCCTAGATCGTGAAGTAGCCGCAAAGCTCCTTAAAACCTGCCGCAAAGGTAAGTTCGGGCTCTTGTTTCAGAACATGGTTGAACAAGAGAGAATCTCGTCAGGTGGGATGCCCGTAGGGAGAATCATGTTGCGTACCATCTTCAAGCACTTCCAGTTGGAACGAGGTAGGATCGGAACCTTAGGAGGTCGTAACTTGTTAAAGTTGTCTCTTGCAGGTCCATCCCTTGCTGACTTGGACGCCTTTCGGGAGAAGTACGTTTACGTGCCGACTGCAATTCTTGTGGCAGAGCAGCCCAAGGAAACAACCTTGTTTGATCACCTGTTGGATGAGCTGGAAAAGTGCACCGCGCTGAAGCCTAAGGTTGAAAAGGCAAGGGAAGCCCCTATCGGCAGCCACCGTAGGAAGCCGGAATGGTTGTGGTCCAAGGTTGATCTCGCTTTGGAGCTCCATCAGGACAAGCGGAACAGGGATGAGTTTGACAAAAGTTTTCAATTCAAGCCAGCCGTCGTGTCCCAGGGTGCCATGCCTGCCGCAAGCATCGAGGACAAGCCCAAGAAGAATAAGAAGAGTAAGAAGGATAAATCTGCTGACCAGCAGAGCGCCGAAGGTTAAAGCTCCAAAGCCGCCTCCTCCTAAAGCTAATGCAGCTCCAGCCCCCCAAGGGCAAAGGTAAGGGTGGTTCGAACGATAACCTTACTCCTAGGTCTAAGGCCATCAGCAAGATAGCCAACATGACCGCGGCCGAGAAAGCAAAGACCCCATGCATGTTTTATGCCTATAATTCGTGTAAGGCCAAGCAATGTGCATTTCTCCACAGTGATACCAACAAGTACACTGGTCCCAAGCCCAAAAGCCTGTTGTCACCGCCGCCGCCAAAGGCGAGTGCAGCTGTTGCCCAGCTCGTTCGGGATACTGCTGCAGGGAGACACTTGATCGGACGTCAAGCTTTGAATGGCAACATGATCAAGTGCGTGCGCGAGAGTTTTGCGACTGGGGGTGGTGCCCAACAAGGCACTACTTCATTAGGGTTCAAGGACAGCCGGGTGATACCTGCTGAAGAGCAGGTGTACGTCCTCCGTGATTGCCCACCAGCGCAATCCATCGGGAAGACCGTGATGGATCAAGGACACCTTTTCATGTGGGACCCACGTGAAAATGTTTCCATACCTTGTTCCCCCAAAGGAACTCAGTGGATGTGACATTAACGTGCCCCGCAACGCACGCATTAATGTATCTAGGGTAGTGGAGTATGTTCCCCAGCATGATGAGGTGGCAAAGCCCAAGTTGGCAGAGTCGTCAACCCACCTCTGGCCAATTGAAGCTGCTGCCATGAGCACGGCCGAAGACGATGTTGTCTCTTTGTGCGATGACTCGCGCCAAGCGTCAGATGAGGGTGAGCTAGATCAGGTTCCAGCTTCTCTGGAAGATCAACACGGATGCCGAGCAACCTGATGGCACGGTCCCGTTTGTTGGGAGGAAGTGCTTTAGTGAAAATGTCTGCTGACTGCATGTCTGTTTTGACATACTCTATTGAGATGCGGTCACTTTCAAGCTGCTCTGCGACGCAAGCAAGGTTCACCTTGTGCGTGCGTTGTACACAGCGTAGCTTAGATGAGAAACCCCTCTTCGCTACCAGGATGGTCGCCTTATTATCCTCATGGATTTTAAGGTGAAACGGCCTATCCGAAATCAGCTCCCATCGGCTGAGTGCAGGTAGCGCCTCCTGGTACGCAAGAGACACTATTTCCGCCTCGGTAGTCGAGCGCGAGACCGAAGTCTGCCGTTTCGACACCCACACGAGGGGAAAGTGCGTACGCGGGCCACTCAACACCAAGAAACCACCGGATGTTATCTCTTTCACCAGCGAAATCTGCGTCCACATCGAGAGAAAGATGTACCGTCAGTCGAATCCTGTACTGTGCCAACTAGGGCGCTGTTCACCGTGATGTTGATGTAGCAGACAAGCCTACGCAACTGCTTATCGCAGTTCCTAGACCATTTCTGAAAATAGGAAGCAACGCCCTAACCACAAAGCCTTCATCAGCACGCGGCATGCGGCGAAGCCGAGCTCACCCTCCGAGGCGTCGTCTGCGGGGTCTAAAGATCCAGCGGGACAGAATGGAGTGGTGGCATCACGCAACTTTTCAGTTTTTAACTGCGCAGCCTCAAGATATAACGCAACCGTTTGACGAGCGTAATCTCGCACGTCGAACGCCATGCCCCCTTTCAACTTGCCCATTGCGGCATTGAGATCGGGTGCAGTTGGGTCCTTCGGGGCGTCTATCGAAAGGTGATTCCTGCCTAGCACCCGATAGATGTTTCTGGGGGTTCTATGTCTACTAGTCTTGTTAATTTTTCCCAGAAGTCTTTATGAAGGTGGCTGGGGCCGGCCAACGTCAAGTCATCGACGTATGTCGAAGTTTCCGGGAAACCCTACGACTTCACGCCCTCCAAGTTCACTAATGAAACCTTTGAGGCGTGCCTCCCAGAGTCCGCCAGCGTCAGGATGCCCATAAAGAGCTTCAACGAGCAAAACCACAGGTTTCACGAAACGCT